GTTTTATCCGGTGGTGATAAAATGATGAATAGGTCATTGCTCTCCATCGGGCGAAGTAGTCTCCCACAAAGGAAAGAATAATAAACATATGATTTTACAGGTAATTGTTTAATGACAGTTGTGACACTTGTTACCAAAGAAAACTGCAGTGTCATGGAAGAACTGATCAGCTGACTTTGATATAAACTCATGCTTTCCAGGGCTAACGTGGGCGAGGTCAGGAGAGGGCCTTGAGCTCTTACTGGTGACTGGTGTGTACCACTAATTAGATACAGTTTTACTTGTGATTATTTTTTTAGTCCATCAGAAGAATTCAGTCTCCACAACCACTTGTTTCTACAAGATGTAGAGGATCTAAGTTATTTGAGTGTCCATTTTAATTATTCTTGAAATTGAGTCTTCTCTCTCTTAAATTTACAGGAATTCTTAGGGCCTTATACATACATAAATATCTTAAGGGTTAATTAGAATTAGAAACTGTGAACTGGGCTCCTCCTCTCCCCCTATTCTAAGAGTAAAATATAGGATTGGCACATGTTGCATCCTATGACTTGAAGAATGATGGTTTTACAGAATTTGTCCCTTTTGTTTCTCAATGTTTAAAAAGAGGACAGTTGACTGCTTCATAACTTATAAATAGTGACCAAGATGTGAGAACTACTATGTTTAAAAAACTTGGTACTTACCACCAGCATCACCTGATTCATGTCTTAGGAGAAATAATTGGAAAAATTGAGATTTTTGTTTGCAAAAAATAATCTTTGAAGGATGGTACTTTTTCAACTATTTGAAGATACTCATCTTAATTTGACTATGCATTTTAAGATAAGAAATTAGAATAAATGTTAGTTGGTTTTAAATGCTTATTGTAGAGAAATAGGAAAAAGATAAACTATTTCCATTACTATCATTCTTATTTTCCTGTAAATTCTAGCTAATGTAGTTGCAAAACTAAATTGAGTCTTATAATGTGGCTTGCTTACCTATAAAATAAATCCCAAGAAAATAAACTGAAAGCTATTAGAACTAATATGAATTTTAACAAGGGTATAAGTCATAAACTAAATATAAAATATTAATAGATTCCTATATATCAGCAACACATAAAAATAAAATGAAAATTTGATATCATTCATAATGTAATAAAAATAATAATTATCTAGAAATAAAGTCACCCACATGGAGACAATGATAAAATTTTATTAAGAGAAAATAATGAATAATGGAATGGGTGAAAATAAATATTTTCCCTTAGGGGGAAATGAAATATTATAAATGTATCAATTCTTCCCAAATTAATTTATATATATATATATATATATATATATATATATATATATAAAATGCAATTATTATCATAATCTTAATGCAACATATTATGCTAAATTGAAACATTTGTACTAAAGTTCAGCTGAAAAGTTAAACACATATGACTACCCAGGGTCCTTTTCGAAAGAATGGGTTATTAAGGGTGAAGGTGTTCTAATTAATCTAGCCCTACAAATTCTAAGTTTATAAAATGAAAACAGTAAAGCACTGGACCAATACTTGGACAACAGACAAGTGAAATAGTAGAGAATACACCCCAAAGACTCAAGAATAGTTAAAAGTTTTCATATGTGACAAAAGGTGGCCTTTCCTTTCAGTAAACAATGAGCATTTAATATATGGTGCTGGGGCAAGTAGTTAACCATGTGGAAGAAAAAATATAGATGTTTGATTTGCCTTATAGTACAACCTCAAATAATTTTCAAATAGGCAGATATTTAATTGTCAACCTGATTTATTTATGTAACTTTAGTGAGGGAGAGTCTTCACCAGCAATCTAAGAAAATAGTCACTTATGTCCACAAGGACTTGAATCAACTGCCAGAATATTTTTTTACCTCCATTGGTAATGGAAACTTGAAATATGTCTAAACATTTAACACTGAAGATTAGGTTTATTTTAGGCTTAGCTTAGTAGAATATCATGCAACCAGGAAGAGAGAGAAAGAGAAATGAAATTGGGGAAGGGAAGAAGAGATTAAGATTCATGTTTTTTAAAAATATATATTGTTATTGATTTCAGAGGTGAAGGGAAAGGGAGTGAGAGATAGAAACATCTAAAATGAGAGAAAATAATTGATTAGCTGCATCCCATACACCCCACCCTGGGAATCGAGCCCACAATCCTGAGTAGGAATGAAACCATGATCTCCTAATTCATAGGTAGATGCTGAATCACTGAGTCATGCTGGCAGGGCAAGAGTCGTGTTTTTATACTTAGTAATATTTGTGTGCATATCCTCATGCACATAAAAATGATAAAGATGTATAGCAAATAGTAATAGGGATAAAGACATTGAAGTTATTTTCTTGTTTTGTTTTTCTAATGTTTAAAAATGAGTATTATTTTCTAAATAAAAGTATAAACTGTAAACAAATATGATGGCTTATAGATGTTTTCAATCCTATTTGATACTCAGCAATAGCACCATTTTTGTGTGATAGGCAAAAGTTAATGGATATGAGAGTAAATAATAATAAACTAAGATGAAAATTTAGTCTTATAAAGATTAAAGCTGTTTTAATTTTTTAAATTGGAGAAAGGAAGATTCAAAGGGATATGGAACATTTATTTTTCTGTAGTGGAAGTGTTATTATACTAAACTATCTTCATCAAAAGATCAACTCTGCATTTCCATCGGAGACTGGCAAGATAAAAGGAAGTACAGCCAGAGATCAAGGAGAGTGTGGAAATTAATCACTAAGGATGACTAATAATAATTTGGTCAGTTGTAGATTCTAGTTACAACACACACTTCAAAATAAGTACTCCATAGGCTTAAACATTAGTTTGAAGCCAAGTAACTAGATATGCCGCATCATAGCTAAATAAGTACACAGCAACATATGTAAGGTTACATACCTTCTTCCCGTCCTTCATCCCTGATTCTAGGAGAAATATTCTTATAGCCTCTCTACACATTTTTTTTTTAATTTTAGAAATGAAACCCATTCAATCTACCATTCTTTAGTCTAAGATCACTTAAGTCTCATTGGATATAGGGTGTGGATATGACCCTAAAGGGACATATGAGCCTTGAGCCAGGAGATATTTCTTCTTTGTAATGGAAGGGAGGGACCACAGATCGGGCCCATTTTCAGAGGGTGCACGGTGCTGAGGAAAGGAAGCTGCTTCCCCAGGGTTTTCATTGCTGAAATTCGGGGCACAGTTTTGAAGATGCATTTGCATTGGGCACTTCACAACTCTGATACTTTGCAGCAGCAACATAAATGCAGATTGGAGCAGAGGCCCGGGTGTATCTTTATTATCACTCCTTCAAACGTAGAAAGGGATTTTGGCAGGGAAGACAGCTGTGCAATTGCACGAAGCTTTTCCATTTCCACAAGCTGAAATTGATGTAAATATGTTGATATGCTTGGCTTCTTTCCTTTTTATTTTCTCTCCCCTCTCTCCCTCCTCCCCCCTCCTTTTATTTTTCTTCCCAAAGCCTTTATTCAGTTGGTACTATATTTTTTCTAAAGTTTATAATCTCAGAACTATAAATGAAACATAGGGAACTTTGTCTATGAATATCTATAATAATAAAAGCATAATATGCTAATTAGATCGGACAGCTGGACAACCTTCTAAACATCATTCTGCACATCTGTCTGGATGAAGCCTCAGCTGCAGGGGCAGAGGCAGAGGCAGTTGGGGGTGATCAGGAAGGCAAGTGAGCAGTTATGGGCAATCAGGCAGGCAGAAAGAGGTAGTTAGGGACAGTGGGGCAAGCAGGCAAGTGGTTAGGGGTGATTAGGCAGGCAGGTGAGCAGCTAGGGGCCAGTGTTCCCAGATTGTGAAAGGGATGTTCGACTGCCTTTTAGGCCCAATCCCTGTAGTATCAGCAATCAGACATCTTCCAATGGGTCCCAGATTGAGAGAGGGCACTGGCCAGGCTGAGGAGACCTCAACCCCCCCCCTCACCCTCCCCCCCGCTTGCCATGCATCAATTCCGTGCACCGAGCCTCTACTATTTATATAAACTTTAATATGGCATTTAAATAAAACGTTTGAACAACAGCTAAGAGTGACCTGTAATATAACTTAATGTGTCAGTAGTCAGTGCTGTGAACAGAAATTGGTCAGGACTCCAATAATCTATAGTCCTTCCTTGTTTTATGCTTTTTATTAACATATTTTAGTAATAACTTATCTAAATATCATAGTTAAGAGTACAGAAATTTACATTGGGCAGTTTCAAGTTTAAGGACCGCTCTCTGACCTACAACATTATCCCCTGAGACTAGGTCATATTCTATTTTCTAGCCTTATTTCCTCTTTGGTAAAATTAGTTAATAATAACAGAGCACAGTATAATCCATATAGTATAGTAAAGAATATTTACTGATGGTTAGGTAAGGTAGTGCATATAAAACTTTAGAACATGAGTGGCATATAATAAAGAATTGAATAAAATATTTCTAAAGCAACAATGATAGGGATATGTAAACATATGTTCTTATAATGTTGAGGGCATGTTTGTGATAAAATGTTACAGAGAACTTGAAAATCCACTTGTGGGGGATGGGTGAACTTATAGTAAGGAAACCCATGCTGTGCTCCATTTGTGCCTACCCTGTCACAAGCATCTTAAGCAGTGCACATTTATATCCTTGCCCCTCAAAACAATCTTATACTAATGATGCAACTAAGTCATTAAGGTGAAATAGCTTCACGAAAGTAAACACTAGTGGAACAAAACACATCAAGCTTTGAAATCACATCTTGTCCAAAGGAAATCCCATTTTATTTTCCCTCTATATCACTACCTCTCTAATTGAGGAATTACACAGGTAAAGACCCACCAGGTGACTTTCTCACTGCCTTTGGACTTTGAATAACATCCTCTTAGGAACTCAAGTTCTGTATTTTGGGAAAATTGTTGTCAGTATAAATGAGCTTCTCATATCCTGGTGGTTTGCTCTCATGTGGTGCTTTCTTGTCTTTTCAGATCCCCCAGATTAGTTATGCATCGACGGCACCTGAGTTAAGTGACGACCGGCGCTATGACTTCTTCTCCCGCGTGGTCCCACCTGATTCCTTCCAGGCCCAGGCCATGGTAGACATTGTGAAGGCCCTCGGCTGGAATTACGTGTCTACTCTCGCATCCGAAGGAAGTTACGGAGAGAAAGGTGTGGAATCCTTCATGCAGATTTCCAAAGAGGCAGGTAGGAAGAGATTGCAATGATTAAGATGACCCTCTTCCCATGTCTGTAGCTTACAGGGTTCTTTTCAGACTTTATTAAACAAACACTATAGACAATCACCATATACCTACTCTCACATTCCCCACTGCCTGCTAAGCAGATCTGCAAAGTCTTTGTTGTTTTTGAAGATAATATTTTCAAAAGTGTGAAACTTAAGTCACTTAAAGTCTTAGGGGAAGTGATGCAGAGAAGAAAATATTTTCCAAAATCAATATCTAACTTCTGTGTAATGGATAATAGTGTGGATTACTGCTTATGGCTGGGAACTGAGAAAATGTGGCTGAATGTACTTCTCAATGCATATTTTCTTCCCCTGTTCCTCTCCAATAATGGGAGCATTGTTTAGAATTATGAGAACCCAGTCACAGTGGCACTTTGCTTTGGAGATGAATAACAGTGATGGCTCTGGCTGACTTGGTAAAAGCAAAATCAAATAAATTAAGTAAATAGGCTTTGAAGAATTAGATAATTTTGAGAAAGACAGCTCTATTAAGTAGCAGTTGGAGAAGATTTTTTGTGTTTATTTAGCTCAAATTGGGAGTAATGGGCTCAAATATTTGGCCAGAGTTTTTCCAATGGGCAGATTTGAAAAATTAGATGGAATCGTCACACTTAGGAATCCTGATAATAAATATCTAGGCTTCCCCACTTGGTAATGTATATAATCTATATAATATATGCTTGATATTCCTGTACAGGTCTTATGCTAAAGTCAGGTTTTCAGTTAACTTTGTAAAAATTTTATCTACTCTCCAATTGTTATTGATAAGAATAGTTAATGAACAGTAAAGGCAATGGAAACAGAGGTCCTTTTAATGAGGAAAATATGTCACAAATTCTGAAGTCCTGGCTGTGATGTTGGACTGTCAGACCAAAGATATACTTACACTTACAATGGTTCAGGGTTCAAGGTATGGCTACTGAAAGAAGGGAGTGAGGATTTGCTTAGCAATCCCACGAATTTAATTCAGTGCCTCGTCATTAGCTCTAATTGCAAACATTCACTGGGGAGCTGGGCCATTCTCAGGTTCTTCCTTTGTACTCTTAACACTCTCACTGTTGACATCTTTGACTGGGTGGCTCCGAATTATGAATAGGCCTCGTCCTGAAAGTCATTTTTAAGTTCAAATAAACAAACACACCCCAGTTCATTGGTTCCACTGGCATGGCTTTGTGTTTCCAGTGACTTCTCCCACAGCACTTGTCCCATGTTGGTCTAACTTGTTGTTTTCTTGTCCGCTAGACTCTGAGGAGAACTTGTCTGTCTCATTTACTATGGTAGTCCCAACGGCTATGTTTATAAGGGAAATGTTTTGTTTATTCCCCGTTAAAAACTTCCTGACTAGAAAAGATATCTTAACTCGGGCTTAGTGTTATGCTGAAATTTGTACCACTCTAATAATTGCCTTAGTGAAGCCCTAAAAAAGATTCCTAATCTTTTTTGATAACCAATTCTTTTATTTGTTCTTGGTTCCTTGAATTTTGCTTTGGCCAAAATAAGGCTAGAGGTCGATTTAGAAATATGAACATAAACATGAACATAAACGCCAACAGATAAGACATGATGAAGAGAAAATAATCATCTAGAGCTCAGAAGTAAAGTTCTCATACTTTCTTGCTCTTTTGATGCAAATGGCTCTTCCATTTAATGCTGAACTTCCTACTACACATTTTTAATAAAATTGAGAGGGCTCCCAAGATGGACATTATGTTAACTTTTCAGTAAAGTACAGGATCAAGACAGTTGTTTACTCTTGATCAGTTGTTAGGGTTTTTTGTTGTTGTTGTTGTTTTTTGTTTGTTTGTGTTGTGTTTTTTTTATAACAGACTGAGATTGACCTGTATACAGACAGGTTAGTGGTACATTTTATATGGTTGTTTTTTTCCTGGTGTCACTTGGTGAAAACTCAAGATATAAAATCAGAGTCCATTATGTAATGACTCTGTGAAAAAGGACACAGCCTTTGTAACATGGGCTGAACTCCGCAGCTCATGGGTTCAATTAATCTTACATTGAGATGATCCAGCTCAAAAATAAGGCTTGTATCATTGGCAGCCATCGTGGAAAAAAGCCTTTAGTAGCACAGCTTTTCCCCTGGGTGAGAGTAACTGGAAGGCCAGCTGCAGGAATGCAGGGGCAGGGAGGGTCCAGGGAATCTCAGGCAAATCACTTCCTCTTCTCCTCTCCTAAGTATTAGGATATGTGGTGTGTATTTATAATACATTTCATTGGAACCATATCATACGTGCAGTTTGCTTAAATGGATTCACTTATGTGCTTAGCAAACACCTTATATCTCCCACCCTCCCCAAGAGAAAAAAAGGAAACACATATAGAAAATATGTGAGATTACCATTTAAATGGCGTGTGGTAAATTACTCACTCAGTGTGTGTATTTTGTAGAGAAAACCTGAAGTGGGAAACATGATCCATTGTGTCCTTAGTGAGTTTTGCTTTTGTGGGCCTCTCATAATGTGAGTACTTGCTATTGCAGAGGTGATTCCAGTATATAGAGATATATACTCATATTCTGTGACCTCTGACAGATCCAGCTACTTCCTCTGATATTCAATCAAAGAAACAGCAATTTGGTTTAATTCAGATTAAAACAAACAAAAGAAAGAAAGAAAGAAACGAAGGAAGGAAGGAAGGAAGGAAGGAAGGAAGGAAGGAAGGAAGGAAGAAGGAAGGAAGGAAGGAAGGAATGAAGGAAAGAAGGAAGGAAGGAAGGGAGAAAGGGAGAAAGGAAAGAAGGAAGAACATAAAAATTTACTCCACTGTAATTTCTGGGAATTTTAGAGAATCTTCAAGGAAATTTCAAATGCTTACATTTTTTCCTTTGCCTGTTGTCTATGGAATCTGATCTTCAAGAAAGATGTGATCACATGTGTATATGGTAGAGTCAGTGTGTCATAGAGATAAGCAAGCACTGTGGCTCTCCTTTGTCAGATGTCAGAACAATTCAAGACAATGATATCAGGGAAAACAATCATCCTTCAAAGGGGCCCACCTAATTTGTTTGGAGCATGGAAGCCTGCATACAGTTTCTTTAACCTGGCTCAGAAAACCTCAATGATTCTTGTCTCAGGTGTAGTCATGGAAGATTTAAATTACATGGAGAGATAAACAAGTCAGATGGTGTCAAGAAAGACCTGAATTTGAGTAATGGCTCCATCACTTTTGTGCTGTAAAACTTTTGGCACACTGTTTAACTTTTCAAGCCTGATTCCTCACATAGAAAATGAGAATAATGAGGCCTACTTCATCCAGTAGTAAAATAAATAAGATCATGTACAGAGAAGCACTTAACACCAGTTCCCTATAGTGTTTGAGTTAGAAAATAACTTGACATTACCTTTCATTATAACTACAAGATTATTTATTTATAATTTATATTTATTTCTTTATAATTTATGTTATACTTATTAGTTAGAATAGTAACTGAGGTATAATATATAAAATATATAAAACCTGAGTTACTATTCTAATAAGCTTCATCATATGAGAAGCATAAGAAGAAAAGAAAGTGAACTATTCACATTGTCCTATATATGTGGTGTGTGTGTGTGTGTGTGTGTGTGTGTGTGTGTGTGTGTGTGTGAGAGAGAGAGAGAGAGAGAGAGAGAGAGAGAGAGAAAGAGAGAAGAGAGATCACAAAAGCTCAATGAAAGGAGTTACTTCCATTCTTTCTGAATTGTTTGACTTTGAATATTATGATTCTTCTCCGAAGAGTTCCAAATTTTACTTTACACTTAAGTTCTAAAGCAATGGCTGTTTGTAAAACTGTAGTTGGAAGTGTCCCTCCAGGCACACAGTCACAGGTGAGCTCTGCTTTATCAAACTGGGATAGATAAATCAAGACAATGATGCCAGAGAAGAGAAGCCATCCCTCCTCAGGGGCCACCTAATTTGTTTGGAACATGGAGGCCTACATACAATTTCTCTAACTTCTCAAAGGAAGCATCTAATTCTTCTCTCATGGACAGTCACAGGAGATTTAAATATGCAAGGATGCTGCTCCTTGTTGAACTTTCAGTGAGGACTGTAACATGATTTTCTCAGAGCATGAGATTTTTGTATAACAGTTATATTTGCATAAATTGCCCTGTTTATTTGAATGGATGCAAATGCAATATCACCAAAAGCAATTTATTGCTTAATATTGCAGAGGATGAGAGAATATTCATTCCCAACATGCTTTAGATTCAGGTCAACACAGTAACCTAAATAGTCTAAATTAGACATAAAGACTCCTTTTTCTAAGTGAGGGTCAAAGTAATTGCTTATGATAGCATATGGCACAAACTTATTCCAGATGTTTTGAACTAAATTGGGTTCAAAGATTATAATAGTAAGAAAATTATATATTACACTTATAGTTTGTTAGACAATTTTCAGAAGAATTCCATGAATATTGCTTCACAAAAAGGAATGATTTGTTACTTTCATGATATCATGACACATGTCAGCTTTTCAAAGCCTGGGAGAACAAGTAAAGTATCCTTTTGTTATCTCATGCCAATCACATAATAGAGTTATTTCAATTGGTCTTACAAAGTAAATGTCACTATTCAGATAAACTCATGACTTCCTTTTATTTATTACTTTATCTTGACCTAGATTTCTCTTTCCTTAGGTGAAGGCTTGACTATTAGTATCTATTTTTAGCCTCAGTTTTTTTTACTTAGACCTCAGGAACTAGTTGGATTTGCTCATTAAAATATTATCTTTCATTAAAGAATTATTTGCTTCTCTCTCAGTCATAGATGCAATGTTCTCTTTCATTGTGCCAAATGTCAGTCTTCCTTGCCTTGTTGTAACCTCTTGAGGTCAAGGACTTTGCCTTGAGACTGTATTCTAATTTTTGGCATATGGAAGGCATTCCTAAAATATTTGGTAAGGGAAGGAGCATAGGAAGATTTGTATTTTCCCCTTCACCTTATAGAAAAATTCTTGTAAA